CGAGTTAGGATGAGTGAATAAATCAATGAGTGAGTGTATGGTGGCGAGTGAGAGAGTGTGAATGGGTAGAAGAGGAGCGCAAGGGATAGGAGAGGCAAATTGAGTAAGAGTAAGTGAGCTAGCGAGAATGAGGAGGCAAGTATAGAGAACTCTGTGTTTTCCACTGCATGTGAACCCTGATCTCTCCGAATTGAACTATACCTTTCATTAATCAAGCAAAGAACGCTAGTCTTAATTTCGTCGATAAAAGAGAAAAGGAGACAAAAAACATCCAGAAGCAAAAGTAATGTTTGACCGTAGTGACACTTGTTGGATTACTGTTGGGATTATTGTTACTATTATTCGTATTCAAATGTATCCCGACTCGACGTGGTGATGACCATTTCGACGACGTTCGAAGGCCATCGCGATCCTATGTCGATGAAAGTCAATGATCCGTCGATGAAGATCGGTCGGGGCGTTACCAGATGATTCGAAGTGGGACCACGGACGGGTTCAGATGCAGTGGAAACCACAGAGTTCAGAAATCCTTTTCTCCTCTTCTTTTCTAATGCTTGGCTTCTGCTGTCACTGGCTGACAGAAAAATGAGAACCAAAACAGAACAAAGCTCTTCGAGATGATTGCTCGAAAGAAGTTCGGATATTGATCGAGACGTTGATATCCAACCATCATGGTGCCACTGGTCATCATTCGTTCTTTGATTCGTGAAGCAACCTGCAATCATTGTCCATCGTTTCTGCAAGGCCATGAGACTATTTTCTCAATACGAAGTCTTTTTTTGTCTCCAAAGTTGATCGAACCGATGGATAAGGCTTGAGGATACTCTACACAGATCGAGGAGCAATGGATGAGGACGAATGCGAGAGACACACAGACACACCCAAACATTTTTTCCGCTAGACCCTCCTTACAATCGTGGGCGTTTTTCCAGCGCCCTCTTCAACATTTTCAATACATTATCGAGACGCGTTAACGCAGGAAAACCAGTCGATGCGGGTGGTACCAGTGGCTTAAGCGAGTTCACAAATATTTGGAAGCACGGTTTTCATCAAAATTAGACGATTTTCTGAAAGTTACAAAAATGTCTGCAGTAAGAAACTCTCCTTACCAACTTTGTTTCAAAGTTTTGGGAAAAGTTTTCATCAATGGTTCCACAAAATACCTTTTCTCAAGGGTGTGATCGAGATGTTGATATAGAAAGGTTTCCACATTTTCGCTCGAGATGGAATTTATCGGTCTAATAAACGTATCGACAATAAGATATTTTCAAGATCTTGTGTGTCAAAGAATGCATAGGACTCATTAATTTAAAAGGTAACCAGGACAATATTTCAAGTTTTCCAGCATACGATTGTTTTTATTTACTGCGCTCCTAGATAATATTTCTTTAGTTAAGCTCATGATAACGCTAAAACATTAACCTTATTTGATAACATACGAAGAGTGGGTGAACGTTCTTTTTTTGGCTTAGTTTATCCGTTCTTGGCGATGCATCACAGTGTCCTCTGTATCCACGAGCTTGTCATCATACAACGCGATTTTCAATCCAGTCATGCGATATATTTAGATACAGGAGAAAAAGAGAATATTTATCCTTGCTATTACATTTTTTCTTCTTTTTCTTTGTAGAAAAACGACAAAAAAAAGCACAGGTATATATTTATTTATTTCGTTTTTTCTCATATTGATCACAGCAAAACAGGTTAGTATCATCATTTATATACGAACGAAAAAATACATCCGATACTACTTTTTAGAATTTCAGTATTTATTTCTCAAGTGCACGATCTTCTCAAAATGAATACATTTAACCTGTTTACAAATGCTACCAATACGGTTGCAGATCAAGTTACACATGTGGCTACAAATGTCTTAAAAGCCGTTATACCAGATTTTGCACTTCGGGTTCTTGAATATATTTATCCGTCAGAAAAAATGATCAAGCCAGTAGAGAAGTTTGAAACTTTGGCAATTGTTTCACTTGAAGATGCTGTAAAACCACTGATTGAACTTGTTCCTGAGGTTTTAGAAATGGTTACCGTCGTAAAAGAGAAATGTGCTGAACCAAAAGAAGGTTTAACAACGGATGAATCTGCTGCAATTATGCTTTATTCAATGGAATGGCAACCCAGAGAAAAATCATTTTATATTATTCTTAACAATACTTTACGAAGCGAAGATCAAGAGAAATTGAAACCTTGGGATCTTTATATAAAATTATTTGTTACGTCACTTGAAAAATTACCATCAGCGTCTCAAACTATTTATCGAGGTGTGAAATCGGATTTGAGTGCTCAATATCCTCAAGGTAAAATATTTGTTTGGTGGGCATTTTCATCATGTACCAGATCAGTACAAGTACTTCAATCGGAACAATTTCTTGGAAAAACTGGAGCAAGAACTTTATTTGCTATTGAATGTAAAGCTGGAAAGGATATTCGGCAACATTCTTTATTTCCAACAGAAGATGAAGTTTTACTTATCGCTGTTAGGAAATTGCAAGTAGCCTCATGTTTGGATTCAGGAAATGGTCTTTTTATTATTCAATTGAAAGAAGTTGATTCAGACCATCCTCTTCTCGGGACTTCAACTGGAACAAATTCATCGGTGTCATCGGCTTCCGGCGGGCAGTCAAACAATGCATCTCATAAATCGGATAATGCCACATCACTCCCATTCGGACTTTCAAATATTCATGCACGAAAATTTTTCTAATAATTATTTTTAGGCAGTTCATTTGACTGACAAAGTCATTCAGTAGAAACTTGCCTTTTTTCAAAATTCTTAGTTTATATATTCTAGCGCGAAGTTTCCTTAATAAAATCATTATCTATCAGTTTATTAAACAAATCACAGCCAGTATCTAGAGTATCTCACTGATTTCTGTGAACTGAAAATCTTTTTATATAGAAATACATAGAAGTAAAATTTCCAAATGAGGGTGGGAGAAAATATGTGTGTGTTGCGTTCTCACATAAGTTATATTATCTGGGCTTCCATTCGACCGATATTTTTGCTATGAAACCTATATTTTTGAAAAACCGTTTATCTTGTCCTGTATTTCCAGTAATTTTCCTTTTTTACCTATATTGTAGCAAAAACAGTGGAAACTGCTGGAAAACTTCCCTGTTCATATAGTTATTCATGTAATTTTAATCTAATTCTCCCAGAGAAAAGATGATCGATTCTCAATTAAAACGAAAGTTCGCACGTCTTTCGAATATTCACTATTAAAGACAAGTAGCGCTCATCGAAGCGATTCGCTTGACCCTCGACTGTAGCTCAATCGTTAAAGATTGATTAAAAAATATAACTACTTTATTCTCGTCCTTGGTGTATTCTTTCGTTGTTCTTCTCATCCATGCTGACAACGACGAAGTAAACATGCTACTTTGACAAAGAGCCTGATCAGTGCCATGTTCTATCTCGTTAGATTGATGTCGATGTGTTTGATGCAGGGAGTAAAAACTTTTATTCATGCTTTAACAGACCGACGGTATGAAATTCAATATAACTCTCGGAAGTGTCGAGAAACCAATAGTGCGATTGGATTCCCCGAACCCGATTTCCCCCTGGTCATACCTTCAGAACAGTATCTGAGGAAATGTTTTTTTTGATCTGATGTTCCTTTGGCTCCAACCGTTTAGAGCCGTAAACATAAGTCCAGCAGTATGTCCGATATTACGGCAGCAATTGTCGTGTCATATGCAAACGAGTACCGGAGCGTTAACGATACATTTTCATATCATGAACGTCTCTTTTTCATCTACATTAGGAACGTTATTTCACTGCGTGTTAACCCTTTACCCCCCCTTGATCACGCGAGTGACCATTTGTAGATCGATGGCAAAAAATTAAGAAAGGATGAAATTTAAAAACGTTGGGGAGATGTCTTGTAGTGAACTCCATAAGCTATCGATTGGTAAAAAAAGTATTTTGTTTCGTTGGTTTCCCACTGAAAAAAAATTTACGAATTCCTGCGTTGACACGCAGTAATCTGAAAAAATCCTGTGAATGTTGGATATATACTGCAAGTTTTTACATCACGTTACCTCGACGAAAATTTTCCTGCAAGTTGGTGAGTATAATTGAGTAGGATTCTTTAACACGCTCACTTTTCGAGTTTCTTTTCTGCAGGATCCTGGAGGATTCTTCTCTAGACACACCATGCAGGAACTTTTACATGCGTTCATGCGATATATCTCGCAGATGCTTCACTTTGCATAGCCTGCGGAATTGTATCCTTCCTGTTATCACTTGTAATACACAAGATATCTCAATACGCAAACCCTACAAAGTCTATAGGATATTTTCATGATGATAACAAATTGTAGCTTGTGGATTTTGTCCGTCATGTCTATCTTGCGGCATTCTGCAATCTTTTCTCATCAATGTCTGTGCAGGATGAACTTGTCTGTATTTTTTATTTTTGGCAAGTTAAGTACTTCTGCATACTTTCTTGTAAAGCCATACAAGCTTTTCTCGTGTCAAATAAACTTCCGGAAATGTATACCTTAATATTTTTAACTATAACTTATCCATGGTTTACCGAAGTTTTTAAATCATATACCATTCAACAGAGTATTTAAAGGGATTACTCTCATTTCGTCCTATACTTGTTTCGTTCCGTTTATTTTCTAGCATTCTAGTCATTTTATAACTATTCATTTTTTTTCTATCAACTAATTAATATTAGTATAATTCATTAAGATAATGTAAGAAATTGATAGATGGCTTTATAAGTTATATTTATTATTTTATTTATGAGTTACAATGAAACCGGTAATTTTAAAGTATTAACACATTTGCCACATTTAATTGCAAGTTCAGTTCCAGACAAAGTACCATTTTCATATCGTGTAAAATACTCCTTCAATTTATTATCACAATTGTTGTAAACTTTCAGCC